ATACCCAGAAAAATGAACTATTTCTTCAACAAATGTGTCCTGAACATCTGCTGAAAGGTGTTGTTTTCAAAATTTTAAAGCAGCTTCTCTCAATTCTGCATCTGGCATTAGTAGTAATTTTGAGCAGGAAATCCAAAATTGTCATGAGATTCTGTATAAGTGAATCCAACGACAAGTATGTAGCTGTCTTACATTCTGCCTGTTTTCAACACAATTTCTTGCTGGCTTCAAAATTTTTTCCCTTCCTTGACGCTGTAGTTAAGAAACATAATAAATTTGTTGAGTTAGCATAAAATTAACAATGGGCGTCTACACTGCAAACTTTAATTGTTTGCAATCTAATGGCCTAAAGCTAACCTATGACACTGAGCTTGACTTATCATCATTTCTGATTCTATGTCATCATTGAAGGCTCTTGGCTCATATAATGACTCCAACAACATGCTATTGGGAGAAGCCAGGGTATAGATACTCAATAATTAGGGAACAAAGGAATTAATGTACAATTGACTATGGATCCTCACTCTTGGATTACTCCTTCATGATTAAAGTTAATATGTTAGCCAAGGAAGAGTATCCAGAAGGGAGATCGTAGAATATAACTTTGGTATAACTGTGTCTAGCATTAGGAAATAATAAGTAGGAGGAGAAGTAAATAATGAAATGATTGTTTAGGAATGCCAGTTAGAAGCTGTGTAGATTATAACCCACTATGATATCATGACGTAGATAAGTTGTTTATGGAGCATTAGCAATGTGAAACAGACTGACTGATGTTTGTAGTGGCCAGGCTTTGGCTTGGTTACAAGTATTCTGCAGTTTTGGGAGACACACAGATGATGATCAAACTAAAGGTAATAATTATGTTGTTCAGGCATATGGTCACTCTCGTGAACACTATGTGCTTATATTGTCCACTTATTGAGGAATACAGAGACAGACAGTATAATAACCTATGTGACATGTCAAGATATCTTATTAATGAAAATAAGATACCAGATATACTAAGCAAATTTCCTAAATTTGCTTGTAACAGATAAGTGAACTATAGATATGTAGATATAAATCCATATGTATTCCTGTTAACCCTTTGGGGCCTAGTTCCTAGGCCTTTTGTGTATCCATATGCTCTCGCGCTACCGTCCACAGGATGGATATGGGGTGCACAATAAACTAGCCACTTCGGTGGCAAAATCTAATCTGATGGTCAGCACGGTAACTGTAGTCTTTCACCAGCAGTTTAGCTTTCTCTTCAAACATTTCAAAAGCTTCATCATTGCGAAGTGAGCTTACAAATTCCACTAAGCCTGCATAGAGGTTAGCACAAGTAGTCATTTCAATTTCAATTTTCTGAAGTGTCTTGTTTCGTGGCATTTTACCGATTCCAGTTTACAGTCCCAAAGCACACAGAGTAAGGCCAATTCAAAATCTTCCAATTTTGATGCTAAGCTGGCTGCTTCGCTTCTTGTAGTTGCTGTCTGGTCTTCATCCTCTGTTATTTGGATCAAAGCAGAACGTATTTCAGCAAAGCTGTCTTTCAAAGCATGTGTTGCATCTGCTGCGCTGACCACCTTGTTGTTAATAATGATTTGATGATTCTCCATGTATGTTGACTGAGTATAAACTCTCCACCTCGATGCGTTGGAAGCAGAGAAAAAATTAAAGAGTGCTTGTATAAAGTCCAAAAAATGAAAAACTGCAGCGACACAACACTCCGCAGCACATGACCCAACAGATTAAGAGAATGTGACTGAGCAGCTCATATTTCAGCATGGGGGTTGATTTGCTTAATACGGGCTTTGATATCCATTTTATTTACCCGACTGTTAATTGCATTGTTGTAGCTCTGGCCACGGCAATCCATAATAGAGAGATCATGTTCAAGCATGTATCCAGTACTACATTCATCATTGTTTCTCATCATGGCCTGAGAGAGGAATGAATTTTATAAGCGCTCTACAGGCTTAACCTATGGATGTCGACCAAAGCGAACAATGAATGGTCAATTGATCTGTATGTGTAATATTGGTGTTGAATCTAAACTTATTGCAAGTATGTTTTGCAGTTTTTCACTGCTGCTTGATGTATTGAGGACCTTCTCATTCCCAAGACGTGCACACATGATTTGCCTAGAATGGATCGGAATTGTGCTATACAGTTCTATGATCCCTAGGAAATTGGCCATTGTTTTCCGAACCAAAACCTCATTTTCCCCACGGGAAAGCAAAGTTCTATCTTAGAGCTAAGAATTTTACAACAGCAACAACTCTTTCTAGAAACTTTTCTCCAATAAGTGCGCTCTTTTTCAGTTTGATTTTCCAAATGAGAATCCAATAAGCTTTTTTTCTGTGCACGAAAATACACTGGTAAAATGCAGCAGCTCATGGAGTGGGTGCTGTTTTATGTTCCTCGACAACGCTTGGAATTTTTCCAGTCATTGAACCCATGTGTGAAGGTATTTCTTTGGTTGGGAAAATAGCTTGCTTGCTGAACAGTTCACTTTTCACTGAGCTTTCAGAGTATACCTCCATGATCTTTTCAGATTTTGAATTTGCATGTTCCTATAAACATAGATGAACTTTAAACAACGACGACTTCCTCATCATAAATTCCTTGCTGAATTTCCTAAAGTCTGTGTTCAGCGTTTGTCTGAAGTTTTCTTGCAATGAAAGCTTACGTAGAGAATCTGGGATTACATTTGGCCATGAAGGCAGGATCTTTTAAGACAAATCTGTGGAATGAAATGTCCGTTGAGAACATTGAGAGGAGACACTAAATGAAGTAGATTGCTGGCTGAGGAATGTATGGAGGGAGGGCTTCCTGTATGATCTGACGTATCTGCAGATTCAAACTGTAACTGGTAACTTCAGAATATGTTTTCGTGAGATGTCTGTGATCTTTTGCAGCTTCCATACCATCTTCTTTTTTCTGCTCTTCTTCTTGAAATTTTCTTCTTTCTTGTCTGTGACCCCTCGCCTAAGAACGTCACAATCACGTTCACGAGATGCCATAATGAGGATGTATCAATGTCTGTAAAATCATGCAAATACAAAGTTTTCATTATCAATATTATAATTTTTTAAATATTATTAATTTTTTTCTTTTCTGTCAGTTGGGGGGGATAAGGCCCTTGTAGCCCCCTTTCCTGGCCTGCGCATCTAAAAATTCAAAAACGTTACAGAAAGGAGTATATACAAGAACTATTTACCTTAGTTAGGTTAGGTGATTTGAGGCTACGGAATATTTTTTAATCATCCTCCTTGATCTCCAATTACTTAAACAGAATCATTCCCGAGTCCAAGAACAATGCACAAATGGTATTTAATATTTACCATTTTCATAACTAAACTAATTCATTTGTTTTGATGGATATATGGTCCTAACACCTTAGATATGACATGAGAATTAAAGAATGCAGGGACAATTTTTCGTTTCACCCAACCAACGGATTTTTGCGTGGCCTTATGTTGTTTCTGGGGAAATATGTATAAAGCAAATTAATTTGGTGTTCTAATCTCTTCCGTCGCAAACTTGAAAAATAAGCATTTTGCGATGGAAGTGATGTAGACATCAATTCAATTGAGATCTGTTATTGAAATGATTAAAGACTTAAAGGACAGGACCAAAGTGCTTTTAAAACCACAAAGGAAGTCAGTTGCGTTTTTAGGTTTTTCTTTATAGTATTTTTACCAAAAATGCGTCTTTACTGGGTCCATGCGTCTTTACTGGTCAAGTAACCCTATCAGAGTACCTCCCTTAAATTTAGAGGCGGGAAAAACAAACATTTATTCATACACATCAATGTCTGTCAACAACACTTCAGTTAATTTGGTCACAGTACAAGACTTAGATAACGTGTCAATTATACAGAAATTTGGAGAGGAATCTCCATACTCACCCATTAGCGGTGAAAAAACACAGCTGTTTGATGTAAACAAAGGCCGTGTTGAGTGTTGCCATCTATGGTTAGGTTTATTTATTTTTATTTTATTTTATTTCAATATTTACTTTTGTTTTGATTAATTTTTAAAAATCAATTTTACTCTCCAAACACTTGAACTTTTTAGGTAGGGACCCCTTTGCACTTGCACCATGTGTGCAGTCTTGGATGAGCCCCTGAACCCCTTGGACCGCGGGGCCCCCAAATGCGCGGGGCCCTAGGCAAATGCCTAGTTTACCTATGCGGTAATCTGGCCCTGGTCATGTCTATATTATGTTTATAGTTCTGGACAGTATCATTATCATGAATGTAGACAGGGGGTTTTCTGAGTATGATACACCTTAATCTCCAGTCAAATTGGTGAGTGATATTAAGATATATTTTCCTTCTGTTATGTGAATGTGTTTATATATAATCATTTTTTAATTTAATATACAGTCCACAAATTTATATATTTACCAGCATTCCTGGTGATGTATTTTTCATTTATAATTATTAGGTCCAGAGCAACTTGTGGTTATGACATTGGTAGGTATCGAAGGGGGACATTTTTTGCGACCAAGGTGTCCCAAATTCCTACTTGTCTAAATGATAAATAATAATTATCTTTATTCATTTACTGTTATGTGCATAATGATGCATTCAGATAAATGTAATTTTCCACACATGTCACATAACGATAAACCTCAGGCCTCCTACTCAAACCACCCCACTCAAACCACTCAATCATCCCGCTTAAACCACCCAACTACCCCATTCAAACCACCCATCCTTTCACTCAAATCACCCAACTACCTCACTCAAACTACCCGGACACTGCACTCAAACCAAACACCATACTCAAACCATCCAGCAGTCCTACCCAGTAATGCCATCTAACCCAGTAATCCCTCTCAACCATCTAATTCATTAATTCCACACAGCTATCATACCCAGTAATCTCGCCCAGCTAATGTACCCATTATTCAGATACAGAAGTGTCACTCAGCTATATCACTCAACTTGACCACTCAACCATATCACTTAGCAATGCCACTCAGCCATGTCTATGGTCTTTCAGGGTTCGACTGGGGTCTTCACTTCCGTTGGGTCCCTCTTACAGAGGAAGAAAAGGTTATGCGAACTGATCCAACAGCTACTTACAGGTGAGAGTTTGAGAGTGAGTGAGATGAGTAAGTGTGAGAGTGAGTGTGAGTTGAGTGTTTTGCATCCTCTCACTTGCTCCACTTTCTGCAGATCACCAGCTGTCGCAGGCGGCCTCTTTCTCATCTCCCGCAGCTGGTGGGAAGAGCTGGGCAAGTACGATGATGGCCTTGATATCTGGGGGGCAGAAAACCTTGGTGAGTATGCTTAGGGGTATATTAGAAGGGAAAGTGTGGGAGCCAGGTAGGGGGGTGTTAAATGCTAAGGGGCATGCAGGTACCTGGAGTATACCTGGAGGGTCAACGCCCCTGTGGCCCGGTCCATGACCAGGCCTCGCAGTGGATCAGAGCCTGATCAACCAGGCTATTACTGCTGGCCACATGTAAACCAACGTATGAACCACAGCCAGGCTGGTCAAGTACTGATTTAGGTGCCTGTCCAGCTCCTCCTTGAAGACAGCCAGGGGTCTATTGGTAATCCCATTATGTATGCTTGGAGGCAGTTGAACAGTCTTGGGCCCTGACACTTATTGTGTTGTTTCTTAGCATACTCATGGCACCCCTGCTTTTCATTGAGAGGAGGGGGTTGCGGCACCGCCTGCCTAGTCCTATGCTTTCGTAGAGAGTGATTTCCATTTTCAGATTTGGGACTAGTGCATCTTAGATTTTCCAAGTGAAAATTATGTACCTTTCTTGCATGCCTTCCAAGGAGTACAGGTCAAGGGGCTTCAATCATTACCAGTAATTTAGGTGCTTTATTGTACTTATACATGCTGTGAAACTTCTCTGTATATTCGTAGTCTAAAATTTTGCCTGCCTTGAAAAGGGTTGTTAGTGTACAGTAATATTCCAGCCTAGAGAGAAAAGCCATTTGAGGAGAACCATTATTGGCTTGGCATCCCTAGTTTTGAAGGTTCTCTTTATCCATCCTATCATTTTCCAAGCAGATGTAGTAAAGACATTGTTGTGATCTTTAAAAGTGAGATTCTCTCACATTATCATTCATAGGTCCTTCACATTAGTTTTTTGTTGTGTGGTTTAGTTAGTTTAATATGTTTATTATGCACCCCATACCCATCCTGTGGGCGGTAGTCAAAAGATTACAGAGGTACATAATTGGTCCAGGGACTGGACTCCAAAGTTTTGATAGCTAAGCAAGTTACAGAGGTAATGAACTCCACAATTTACAAAGGTAGTGAACTCACAATTTACAAAGGTAATGAACTCACAATTTACAAAGGTAATGAACTCACAATTTACAAAGGTAATGAACTCACAATTTACAAAGGTAATGAACTCCAGGTAGGTCTGGTCACAATCATGACAAGTTACAAAGGTATTTACAGATTACAGAGGTACGTAATGGGTCCAGGGACTGGGCCCGGTTGGAATTCATTTTTTTATTCCGATCCAGTTTTTATTTCCTTGAGTTTTTCATAGCAGAGTAATTGACATTTGTCTTCACAGAACTTCATATTGTTTTCAGACACCCATTTAAAGGCTTGGTTAATGTCCGCTTGGAGACTTGCCGTATCCTCAGTGAATGGCTCGTGCAAATTGTGGTATCATCAGCAAAGGAAGACACGGTGCTGTGGCTTACATCTCTGTCTATGTCAGCTGTGAAGATGAGGATAAGGATGGGAATGAGTACTGTAGCTTGTGGAACAGAGCTTTTCATTGTAGCTGCCTCAGACTTTACTCTGTTTTACTATTTTCTTTGTGTTCTATTTGTTAGGAAGTTATAGATCCATCTACCAACTTTACCTGTTATTCCTTTATCACACATTTTGTGTACTATTATACCATGATCACACCTGTCAAAGGCTCATACAAAGTCTGTGTATACTACTACTGCATTTTGTTTGTCCTCCAGTGAATCTAAGACCATGTCATAGTGATCCAGTAGTTGTGAGAGGCAGAAGCAACTTGTTCTAAACCCATGCTGCCCTGGGCGGTGCAATTGCTGGGTATCCAAGTGATTGGCAGTCTTGCTTCTTAGAACCCTTTATTTATTTATTTATACAGTGGTTGAGTGTACATGCCAAAAGCCCCTTGTATGCAGAGCATTGTGGGCAGGCTTAAAATTAACTTAATATTAACTAAGCAATGATTTTATTCAGTGGTAAAATAGAGTAACAAATTACAACAAAGATTTTTATGATGTGGGACATTAGTGCTATTTGCCTGTAATTCTTTGTAATTCTTTTACTGCCACCTTTGTGGAGTGGGGCTATATCTGTTGTTTTTAGTGATTGGGGGAAATGACCCTGTGCTCATGCTCCCTCTCCATAGCATATTTAAAGCATGTGAAAAGGATTTTTGCAGTTTTTGATGAATATGGAGATCCACAATTCTGGGCCTGGGGCAGAGTGCATTGGCATGTCAATATTGCTTTTTAAAATTTCCTTTTAGTGTTAAGAAAATATCAGAAATTTTGCGTTAACAAAATTTTGGGGTCTCGGTCATAAAAAATTTTATTTAGATTGTCGATCTTTAGTCTGATTACGGCTTGCTCAGTCATACCGGGACTTCAGTATCTCGCTCATTTCTTTGATGTCAGTTGTGTAAGTCCCATTCTTTTTTAAAAGCTTTATGCCCAATACTGGTGTGGATTTTGCCCTAGATTTGGTATAGGAAAAAAAGTGTTTTGTATTTTCGTTTCATTTTTAGCTTTAAGTTGCTCTTGTGCTCATGACTCCTGTATGATTCTTTAAGCTTAAGTTCAATATTTTCTGTTTTTTTGGCCAGTGCCAGGCTGTGGCTCATATGTCAATTTGTGTGCTTACCAACAGTAAACAATTTGGTTGGAACAGGCTCTGATCCACCACAAGGCCTGGTCACAGACTGGGGACATGGGGGCGTTGATCCCCAAAACCCTCTCCATGTATACTCTAGGTAAAAATTTTAGATAAAACCGGCCCCTTTCAGCAGCTCTGTGATTCTTCGCCTTCGCCTGCAGAGGGGGTCTTTCTCTCTCTTTCTAGTTTTCATCTTCTCCCCTTTTTTTTTTTTATTTTTATCGGAATGTGCCTTGAGCATACCTCAAGCCACTTTTTAGGGAAAAAGTTTGGACCCATGTTGTAAGGGTAGGGATATGTTGATGGTTCCTACAGCCTTTTAATTTGGAAGTCAAATATATAAAAGGCTCAGGAATGTGGTTGCTGATGCTCTCTCTAGGAAGTTTCATGTGATGCATGGTGCGTACTTTGTACATAGTGTTTGTCTTGTGCTGACCTTGTTGTTTTGCAGTGGTGAACTCTTTAGCGAGCCTGAGTACTCTCACCAGCCATCTGACTGTGAAGGGGCGAGTCAGAGCCAAAAGTGTGACAGGGTCAGGGTGTAAGTAAATGTGAGTTGAGGCAGTGGTTGACAACCTTCGGTAACATGAGACGTTCAGGAAGGTATGTGATGTTGTGTCTTGGTGTGCTCTATATACAAAACGGCCCGACGGTTTTTCCTTTGTGGGCCCCTGGACCCCTCCATATTCTATGTCAGCCTCCTCTTCATAAGTTTGGAGGATCTGTGTGGAGTGGGACCTTGGAAGATGGGCTTGAGTGCCTGACCATGTTAAGGATCGTGAGTGTTGACTGGAAGTCCCCACTGTTTGGTTCGGCCACCAAGTGAGAGACCCTTGACATGTTTTGTGAAGTTTCCTGCCTGGTGTACACCTGATGCTCTGGGTTTGGCTCTACTCTCGTCTCCTGATCAGGAAAAATGCCACCGGAGTACAGTTGGTTGCTGGATTACTGTAGCAGAGGCACAGGCTGTGGTGCGGGTTTCAAGTGGGCATTGTGTTTAAATTTTGCATTGTAATGTGTTTGTTTAAAAGCCTATTAAATTTTAAATAGTTACACCCTTGAGATATGGGTATGGGTTAAAATGCTTTTCTAAAAATTTGCAATCTGTTGTAAATAATTTTAAATAAAAGTGAAGGTAGTTTTTGGTGTAGGAAATATGTAGCATTTCTAGTAGTCTTGTTTACCGCCTTCAGACTTAAGCAATTTTACTTTTTACTAGCCTATCCGAGGGGACACGGCTAGCTTTTGTGAGACTTTGTCTTGGGGGGGGGTTGG